TTTTAATGAAAATGTAAAACAAATAGGGTCCTAATAATGCCTAATTAATACTTATAGGCTACTTATTTTTTTTTACTACTTAAATGACTTAATACAAGAAGAGTAAAAGACAAAAGTGGTAGGCCTAGCGTATAAATTTAAACCTTAAATTTAATTTAAAATTCTTCTTTGCTCATTCTCAAATTTCTTCAAATGAATAGGGCCTATAAAAAATAAAAATGTTATAGAGGTCTAGATCTAGATCTAGATCTAATTTATAATATTGCATAGAAAATGCTTAGGCCTACTTCCTTATTTTTTGTTCATGCTTCGCAATGTTTAAACAGTTCAGAGGAAATCGAAAGTAAAATCAAAAACTAGAATCTAGATCTAGATTATAGTTCTAAAAATCAGAACGAAAAAAGCAAAGTTTCAAAATGAAAAAAACTATTCAGTTATTCTTAGGCCTATCTCTACATCTTCATAATTAAAAATGAGATTTCAAAAACTTATAGGCCTAATTACTAATTTACGAAATACTAATTACTAAATATATAGGCTATAGGCTTATATATATATATATATATATATATATATATATATATATATATATATATATATATATATATATATATATATATATATATATACATATATATATATATACATATATATATATATATACACATATATATATATATATATATATATATATATATATATATATATATATATATATATATATATATATATAGGCCTTTATATATATATATATATATAGGCTTATACATATAAATATATATATATATATATATATATATATATATATATATATATAGGCCTATACATATAAATATATATATATATATATATATATATATATATATATATATATATATATATATATATATATATATATATATATATATATATATATATACATATATATATATATATAGTGACATTTAAGCGCAATTTCCTTATGTTATATAAAAATAGCTCTGTCGTAGCGTAAATCAAGAGTAGGGTTAGTAAAACCATTGGTTAGTTATTAAAACGTTTTTCATTATTTTTTTTTTCAGTATTTTACATGTTTTATTTACAATAGAGTTACATGACTAAAAACCATTGCGTGCCTACTGAACGTGATGACGCAGCCATTGAACGTGATGGCGCAGCTATTGAACGTGATGACGCGTGTGGTGTGGTTGGATAAATATGCCTACTGATTCGGTCCAAATTTTAATGAATTAAAAAAAAATTTTTGTGACCGAACGAAATGATATTTTTAAAAACTTTCTTCGGCAATATTGTTCTAAATTATGACAGGAATCGATTAATAAATGTTTCAAGTCGCTAAGTGGTCTGGTTGCCAAGATATGGGCTAAAACTGCTTTTTTTTCGAGGTTTTTTTGCCTTTTCCGGGAAATCCATGAAAGAAACCCGGAATTTTTATGGCCTATGTTCATCCTCGTAACTTGCTTAACATAATTGCTTTTGGAACTAGTCATCGATATTGCTTTGATGCATTAGCAGCCATCTCGCAGCGCGTAGGTCTGAAGATCAACAAAGAAAAGACGGAAATGATGAGAATTAATAATAAACAGGAGGCTCCAGTGTCAATAGACGGAAGACAGGTAAATGATGTGCAAGAGTTTGTCTACCTTGGCAGCAAGATCAGCAAAACGGGAGGCACAGAGGAGGACATACGCGCTAGAGTTAATAGAGCCCGCTGCGCTTTCACAGTCCTGCGACCCATATGGAAAAGTTCGGCCATCTCCATTACCACAAAAATTAGGATATTTAACTCTAATGTCAAGGCAGTTCTGCTGTATGGAGCAGAGACATGGAGAGTCTCCAAGGCAAGCACAGCAAAGATACAGACCTTCATGAATAGATGCCTTAGACAGATATTGAAACTGAGATGGCAGGACAAAGTGCCGAACTTGGAACTATGGAGGAAAGCTAGGCAGGAGTCTATAGGTGTGCAAATAAGAAGGAGGAAGTGGCGCTGGGTGGGTCACACACTGCGAAAGGCTCACACAAATGTTACACGCCAAGCGCTTGAGTGGAACCCCCAGGGAAAGCGGAAGAGAGGGCGCCCAAGACAGACCTGGAGGCGGAGTCTTCTTGAAGAACTGAAGCCAATAGGGATGTCTTGGGAGATGTCAAAATTAATAGCCGAGGATAGGAAGAAATGGAAGGAAATGGTGGAGGCCCTATGCTCCATAAGGAGCAAAGAGGACTAACAAAATAACATCGATATTGCTTCGTTGAGGAGATACGATTTAAAGCTGCGGACACATATCCATCCATCCATCCATTCATTCATACATTCATACATCCAGAAATGACGGGTTAATAAACGCAATACTCCATAATGGAAATTGCGCTAAAAATATATTATTTAAAAGAGAGTTATTTCTAAAAATAAAATATTCGATTAACATAATTATGGTGACAAGTAGGTTATTATTCGTTCTCAACTAAAAATTTAGTAACAACACATATACATTATAGTGTACACAATCAACTACATTTTTATACTGGAAACAAATATCTAAAAAAAATATATATTATTTAAAAGAGAGTTATTTCTAAAAATAAAATATTCGATTAACATAATTATAGCGAAAAGAACAATAGGCTATGTCATGGCGATTAACATTAGATCTGCTCTCTTCCAACCTAATCAATATGGTCCAGCTCTGGAGGCTGCTTAAACTCATGTCTGTTGATATGAGAAATCAATTTACAATTATTTTTTAAAAAAATGTAATTGATTTTCATTTATTCCTTAAACGAAAATTTAAATTAATAAAAAAAAGCACATCAAATCAAACGGGAGAGTTTTAAAAGTTTAAATAAAAAGTAGAATATAAAGATCGTCAATTTTGCAGTAGAAATTAAAATTTGAATACATTAATAATCTGAGTCACTGTTGTAGTATTCATGTGATGAATATTCATCATGATAGGCATTGTAGACTATTTGACGTCGATCAAAGCCGTTGTTTAACAAGTGTATCATTGCTAACCGCTCCAGCATAGAGATATCTTGGACCTTTGGGTCAGCTGCCAATTCGGCCTGCTCTGCGTGCTTAAACAGCAGCTTGTCCTTAAACGTATTTGGGATGGGTAGTCGTTGTATCCGTTCTTTTCTCCCAGCATCAGCACCTACAGCTGACGACACAGCAACAAAGCTGAGTTTCTGTAGAGACATGGGCTGGGATGAGTACTCGTCCAAAAACTCCAAACAATCGTTGAACTGGTTAGACTCTAGGGATTTCCTTAATAGTTCATTGTAGGCTAGTCTTGAAATGTCATAATGGGTTAAAAACCAAATCTCATTTAAAAACCTAGCAACGTTGATGGAACCGCAGATTAGAGAAGCACAGAACGGCGAACCTTTCGATAAATCACGAAAACCAAAGCAAGCAAGATCAACCTCTTTTGGCCCTACGCCAAGGGCTATAATTTCTTTTAAACAACCATTTTCCTCATTCAAAATTAATTGATGAATAACATAAGGACTTAAACATGAGCTGTCAGCTCCTTTTTCTATTAGGTAAAGAATACTTTCTGTATCGAACCCTAGACTGAGACCTTTGCTAATAAGTGCGGATAGAGCAGTTTCATTTTTCTTTTCATTGACTAAATTGACTTCAGCACCTGATTCACATAATACTTTCATTGTTTGTATGTGTTGCTGTTTGGCAGCTAACATCAGAGGTGTGTAGCCTTCATTGTTTTGATGGTTGATACTAGCCCCTGCTTTAATCAGAAGTCTCACAACTTCAGCAGGATCTTGAAATCTTGAAGAACTCACATAAAGCAAAGGAGTGTCCCCTTTGTTATCAAAATCATTCACATTCGCTTTATTTTCTAACATAAACTCAGTCATTTGCGTACACGGTCTTGACAACAAATTAAATAAAGGTGTCTGTCCTGAGTTATTTTTTAAATTGATATCTGCCTCAAACTCCAAAAGGACTTTCGCATTAGCAATAGATTCTAAACCTGCAGCAAAATGTAAAGCACTTTCACCGCTTTTATTTTGTTGGTTGACATTTGCCCCAGCTTGTAGAAGAGCCCGTAAAACCTTTTCCATATCTGATTTTTGTGAAGCATCCATTAATGGAGTGTTACCTAATTTGTCTTCGACATTCACATTGGCTCCGTTTTGAAGGAAGACGTTTACTCTTTCTAGCAGGTTATCTTTAGTCCCCCTTTCACAGTCGTCTAGTGTAAAGGTTAGGGCTGAATATGAATTCCCGTATTTTTCAACAATGACATTCACGTCGGCACCTAATTCGATCAACAGTTCCATAACATTAGGGTCTGTAGTTGACATTAAAGGTGATTTATAGTAATGGCTTGCATTAACATTGGCACCTTCTTGCACTAATAGTCGTATCATCTCCTTATACCCCTTTTCTGCAGCTATGTTTAATAATTGGGTTCCTATTTGCCTTATCTGAGAACTAACATCTGACTTAAATTGTTCAATTACAAAAACAAATGATTCAATCTTATTACCACTGACAGTAGAAGTCAGTGCTTCAGTAGCATCTATTTTAGCACCATGTTTTATGAGAAGTTTTGCACAATCTAGTTGCTCATGCTCAATCGCAGACTCAAGTGCTGGACACGAGTCTTGGCTGACCTCTGCTCCATGATGAAGTAGCAAGTCTATAATGTCACATCTACCAATCTCAGCAGCTACAGCCAAGGGACTTTTATAGCTATAGTAATAATCTAGTTTGTTTACATCTGCACCATGGCGACAAAGCATTTCTACCAAATTATAGCAACCTATCCTTATGCTTAAATTTAATACAGATTCTGAACGATTGTAATAGTAATCAGATTTTAGCGGAGCTCCAGCCTTAAGGAGAATCTGAACTATATCCAAATCGTCTTCTGTTATTTCCTGTTTGCTCTCTAGTATTGAATTTAAAAATTCGAAAACAATATTATTGTCTTCTCCATTGCTATCACTGAAGACAACGACACGACAAGCTAACAAAAGCTAATGATGTATTTATCTTTCATTAAAACAGCTTTTTGTAATGCTGCTTTCCTATTTTGTGTCCGTCGGTCCAAAATAAATAGCAAGGATTTTAATCCTAATCTTTCAGCTAGTTGACAAGCACTTTTTGATACAGCAACACCGGGACAAGCATTTATATCAGTTTGCTTTTTTATTAATGTGTTTATCAATGGCAAGTTCAAAACTTCAATGGCTTTCATGATAGCATCACACCCGTTTTTATTTTTATGGTCCATTTTAAAATCTTTTTTGTCAAGAAGTCTTCTAACCAGCTCAGAGGACCCGGATGTTTGAATAGAAAGTAAAAGTGCCGTGTCACCGTCTTTGTTGTAACTGTTGATATCAGCGCCTTTATCAACCAGTAACAGAGCTATGTCAGTGAAACCTTTCTCAGCACATATCAAAAGTGGTGTGTTGCCTTTGTCGTCTCTCGTCTCAATATTAGCACCATGAAATATCAGAATCTTTACCAAAAACTCTCTACCATACCTACAAGACAAAATCAGACCTTGGTCCAAACTTTCTTGGTTCACTTTGTTCTCAGTGTGTATCAGTTGATTAAAGCATTCAAGCATTTCTTTAGTTGAGCCAGATTGAGCAGCTCGCTCTATCATGTGTAATGTATCAACTTGTACAGCTGGAGTATTTTCAATGCACTGTTTTGTTCCATCTCTAGCGCTTGAATGTGATGTAGAATGTAACCCAAACGATGTGCTGCTTGTCTGACCACCTGATGACACCTGTCGTCTGTCAGAGCTTTGGCATAATGTTGTATTTGATTGATTTCCATTTTTCTGCCTACTTCTGGCTTTCTTTCTTGGCATTTTGTGACCAGATTACCTGAAGAGTATGGCCCAATTAGAAAAAAAAATACACGTACAAGAGTCGTTTTAAAAGTTGACATTTATATACGCGTATATATATATATATATATATATATATATATATATATATATATATATATATATATATATATATATATATATGTTTATGTGTGTGTTTATATATATATATATATATATATATATATATATATATATATATATATATATATATATATATATATATATGTATGTATAGACATTCATGCGTGTACATATTTTAAACGTTAATTCAATTAATGAATGTGTTGAGAAATATAGTCTGCAACTAACTGCTTTTTATAACATCAATACAGTTCGTCTTAGATTATTTTTCTGTGTGTGGAGTCTAATTATATGAGTGTCTGCGTAACTACAATTTACATTTTTACTTTTTTTTATTTATAGTTCTCTAATTGGGTAAAACGAAAAAGATAATTGGTTTAATTCAAGTATATATATATATATATATATATTTCAGTTCTTAAACAATATTTTAACACCAATATATTATTATTATCCGTATGATTTTTTAAATTTCTAAACTTAGTCTTCTTCTTCTTCTTAATTTTTAGTGTTGGAATGCATTCCCCTCCAACACAATTAAGGAAGCGTGTCAACTGGTTATGCGCCACTGAGGCCATTGACCGCTTTTCTTTTTTGATTTGCTTCCATAGCCTTTGTCCATCCAAGAACTAACTACAAGGCAGCAGTTGTTTCATTTTGGAGTTAGTAATATTTCCGGATTTTACTATGATAATAAAGCACTAAAAATGATTCAATATTTTAGTTTATTTATCTTTTCACTAATTATTTTAACTAAACCCTTATCGTAAAATTACTTTACGAAACCATCAATTATATTGTATAGTAGTTTTAGTTTTACCCAATTCTACATTCCACTGGAGAGTGGTTTCCTTTTAGATCTAGATCTAGAATCTAGATCTATATCAAGTAATAGTTAATGGAATGTACTAACATTTACTACACAAGTAACAATTACGTTTTTGTTTTTCAATATGGCTCACCTGTAAATTGTTTATAATGAATTAGTTTAAAAAGTTGAAAAGTTAAAAAGTTGAATATTTTTATAAGAAATCAGTAACAGACTCAGGTATTTACCAGGTACAAATTACACAGCAACACAGTGTTCACTCCATGGAGATAACGTCAGCAGATTACACGGTAAAATCACCCTACGTCATTTTCCAAGAAACCCAAACCGAAACTGCTGTAAACTTACTGTGATAGAGGCTACTCCTACAGTGAAATATGTTTTGTTTGTTTCTAAATATAAACTTTATGATATTAGTTATGATTAGTTGATACATAAAGAAAGTTTGACCTGAAATATTAAAATGTAATTTCGGGAATTCCCAAGGTTCTAGTTTGAATTTACGTCCTATATGGGACGTTACTTTCAATAATATGATCACAAGTGCATGTTGATTACACTGTGTGACGACAACATTTTACAATGTCCAGTTTGAAACTTGATTCTTCTCTATTATGTTACATTTTCAAAGACATTTCTGCTAAAATTTGAATAAAATATTTCACTGGGTTATAGGACTGGTAAGTAAGTTACAAACCAGTTCTCCGGCTCAATAAAACCTGCATGAGTCATAGAACTGGTTGGTGACCTACTAACCAGCCCTATAACTAGTGTTTACGTGCCTCAGTTCATCTTCTAAAAATAAGTCATTTAAAATAATAATTGAATAGTAAAATAGGGGACGTAAGCTGAAGTTTTTTTTTCTGTTTTTTAACCGTCATGCATTATGTAGATATGGGTCTATTATTTATACTGTGTAGAATTCGAGCTATGTATAGTAATGTATACTATTAATATTACTGCCCTTTCCAGTGAATATTTATACACGCTGATTTGATGTTTAACATATAGATTTAGGTGGTTCTAAAAGATAGCTGATGTCGCTAAACGCCCCTTTTTCTCTTACCCACAAAAAAGATGGCATATATTTAATTAAAGGTATTTACCTAAAAAATACTACGATTTTCAGATATTTGTAATTTTAGTTTTTACGATATTTAAAATAGAGTGCTCGAATCTTTATGTTCCTTAATCAAAGTGTGTTTAAAGACCTATTGGCTATAATACAATTATATCACTGAACGTATATACATCTTCATATTGTAGAGTGGTACATATAATACTCGTACTTTGGACCAACTACTTAAAAATGTGAAAGATGTTGAAATAAAATCGAAAGTTGTTTTAAGAATTTAAACGAGACTTAATACTGTGGAGCCAATCTGGCGTAAACTAAAATGCTGCATCTACCATTTCACAAACGGACTCAACTTCCAGCGGCTTAATATGCGATTATTTTATCCGTTCTTCACGGGGCGTGTCCGATCCATCCCCCATAACCATGCCTATCTACCGCTAAGTGTAAATGAAAACTCAATGAAGGCCTAACTGTTCAGTTCCAGTTACTTGTAGGGTCGTTAAAAGTTTGAAATTAAAAAAAAAAACATCTATATGCTTTCTGTCTGGTATCGTGTTTTGCTGAATCATTTGGCTTCAAGTTTTCTTGGTAGATATAATTTTATTACACACACACACACGCACACACACACGCACGCACACACATATATATATATATGCCTAATTAATAATATTTAAGACAGTAATTTGAAAGACTAATTTTATTGGTAAAATCAATAGGAACCACTTGATCAGGCAACACGGCGCATAGAGCCTAGTTGCTAATCTAATAGTTTTGAGCATCGGGTCAAATAAAGTTCGTTGCATATTTTTCTTGGAAGGACAATGCTACAGAATGCTACAGAATCGCATCCAGAAAGAAAAGAAGACATACGTCGTAGTTAACCGGACACGACAAATCAAAAGTGGTGTGTTACCTTTTTGTTATTTAAAATAAGTCTGGGTTGAAAGTGAAATAAAGCATTTACATTTTATTTTGGTCTTTCCGTAATTTAAATGTGTAACGTATTACAAAATAAACAATAACAATTATAAAATATAATAAAATAATAAAACGTTTTAGTATGCATCTTTAAAAAATAACGCACTGGTATAATTTTATATACTTCAACATTATGTTGAACAATCTTATAACTAGAAGAAATGCATTTATATATCTATATACTTACATACATACATATATACATACATACACAGGCTACACGCCCACAGGCGCACATGCACTCATGCACGCATACATGCATATAAATTATATATTATATTTTATATCTATCTATCTATCTATCTATCTATATATATATATATATATATATATATATATATATATATATATATATATATATATATATATATATATATATATATATATATATATATATATATATATTTAGAGAGAGAGAGAGAGAAAGATACACACACACACTCATAAAGTTTAAAGTGAACATATACCAATTGAAGATAATAAACTAGCTAATAAGAAAAGTAGGTATATATATATATATATATATATATATATATATATATATATATATATATATATATATATATATATATATATTAAAATTAACTCCTTGCTAAATACAATTTAAGTTTTTAAAAAAATAATACTAGGTTTCTTAACAAAGTCAATAGGAGTACAATATACGATCTACAAATTATATCTTTGTTTTAACGCTTTTCTAAAAAAAATATTAAAATTGTATATGCTAATTACTTTTTATCCTTATAATTTTAGTTAAATAAAATAAGTATTAACTCAATTAGTAATCATCCGAGCCTTTTGAATCATTTTCTGAATCATACACAAAGTCACTGTCGTAGATCCCATATAGGAAGTAGTCATCACCATAGCTACTGTACTCGTATGCGCGTTTATTTATACTTTTGTAAAGCAAACGTATCATTTCTTGTCGGTCATGCATCGATATTTCTTTCACACTTTCCTTTTTTATAATTTCTGTGGCTGCCGCTCTTTTAAATAACAATAATTCATGCAATGCAGTTGGGATTGGGAGTTTTATCACCCGTTCTTTTCTCCCAGGCCCAGCACCTACAGCAGACGATACGACAACAAAAGTGAGTTTCTTTAGAGACATGGGCTGGGATGAGTACTCGTCCAAAAATTCTAAACACTCGCTATAATTTTTAACAGCCATACATGTTCTAAACTGTTTATTTTTGGCGAGACTAAATACGTCGGCCTGGGTTAGAAACCAAATTTCATTTAAATATCGAGCCAATCGTACCGATCCGCAAATCAATGATACCACAAGTGGAGAAGCAGTTTGAATTATAGATTTGTATTCATAAAAACCCAAATCAACAGCTTTAACCTCTTTTGGTCCAAGACCTAATGATATTAATATTTGTAAACAGCTGAACTCCTTGCTGATGATTATTTCATGGATAAGACATGGATCCAAACTTGAATCATCTGCTCCTTTTTCTATCAGATAAAGTGTTGCTTCATTAAATCGCTTATCAAAGTCCAAGCTTATAAGTATTGAGAGAGCAGTTTCGTTTTTCAGTTCATTTACTATATTGACATTTGCACCAGAGTCATGCAATGTGTTTATAATTTCGAAGTTTGTCTGTTTAGCAGCTAACATTAGAGCTGTATACCCTTCGTGGTTTTGATGGTTTACAAAAGCCTTAGCTGATACTAAAATTTTTATAGCCTCAATCGGATCATTAAAAAAGGGAGAGCATGCATACAATAAAGGTGTATTGCCTTTATTATCCATTCGATTTACATCAGCATTATTTTCTATCAAGAAATCAATCATGTCCTTGTGTCCCCGCGGTAAAGAGTAGAATAACGGTGTCATACCCATGTTATTTTGTAAATTTATATCCGACTTAAACTCCAACAGAGTTTTGGCATTATCGGTAGATTCACAAACAGCAGCATAATGTAAAGCACTTTCCCCTTTGTTGTTCTGTTGATTGACATCAGCCCCAGCTTGCAAAATGGCTCGTAAGACGTCTTGCATATCTGATATTTTTGCAGCTTTCATTAATGGTGTTTTGCCATTATGGTCCTTGAAATTTACATTCGCTCCATACTTTATAAGTAGTTTAACTCTCTCAATAAAGCTGTCTTTTGTCCTTCCTCTTTTAAGTTCAGTTTCAGTTAAAATACAATTTAGAACGGAATCTGCGATGTTGAGCTTCATTGTCAGATTGACGTCAGCACCAAGATTGATTAAGACTTCCATAACAGTTGAATCAATTGCCGATAATAGTGGTGTGTAGGTGTAGATATCACCATTAACACTTACACCTTCCTGCACCAACAATCTGATCATGTCCTTATGTCCCAATTCTGCTGCAAGATCTAACAACTTTGTTCCTATTTGTCGTATATTAGAACTAACACAATCTTGAAAGTGCTCTTTCAAAAACAAAAAAGAATCAATTTTATTAAATCTTACAATAAATCTAAGAACCGCATCAGGATTAATCTTCGCCCCATGTTCAACGAGCAGCTTCGCACAAACTAATTGATCATGCTCAATTGCCACTTGCAGTGCTGAATCAAGATCATATTTTACCTTCGCTCCTAATTCAATTAGGAGGTTTATAATATCACCACGTCCATACTCTGCGGCTAAAGCTAATGGGGCTTTATAATTAAAATAATACGAACACTGCTTTACCTCAGCTCCATTGAGACACAATAATTTAATTAGATCAGCGCTTCCTAAGGTGACAGCTGTTGCTAAAGGGCATTCTTCTCGAGTATTGTTTGCAGAGTTTAGTTGAGCTCCAGCTTTGATTAGTATCTTAATTACATTCAAATCTTCATCACAAACTTCTTTTCCGCTCACTAGTATTGAGTTTAGAAATTCTGAAACAATGTTATAGTCTTTTCCTTGTTTGTCTTTAAAGTCAAACACTCCATTAACTAAGAGAAGCTGAATAAGGTAGATGTCTCTTTTTAAAACTGCAGTTAGTAAAGCTGTTTCACCTTCATGTGAATTTTGATCCAAAACATCTAACAGCGAACATAATCCTAAATTTTCAGAAAATATCGAAGCAACACCGGCACTTGAAGTAGGCTGCATTTTAAATACTATTCTAATTAGTTGTAAGTTTAGGACTTCAACTGCTTTCATCAAAGCATCATATTTCTTTTCGTTTCTATGAGAGATATTTAAATCTTTTTTGTCAAGAAGTTTCATAACAAGATGAGAAGACCCGGATGTTGTGATCGAAAGTAAAAGTGCTGTGTCACCATCTTTGTTGCAACTGTTGATATCAGCGCCTTTATCAACCAGTAACATAGCTATGTCAGTGAAACCTTTCTCAGCACATATCAAAAGTGGTGTGTTGCCTTTGTCGTCTCTCGTCTCAATATAAGCACCATGAAATATAAGAACCTTTACCAGAAACTCTCTACCATACCTACAAGACAAAAGCAGACCTTGGTCCAAACTTTCTTGGTTCACTTTGTTCTCTGTATGTATCAGTTGATTAAAACATTCAAGCATTTCTTTAGGTGAGCCAGATTGAGCAGCTCGCTCTAGCATGTGTAATATATCACGTTCTGCAATCGGAGTATTTACACTACACTGTTTTGTTCCATCTGTAATTAACTCTGGGCAGAAATGTGATAGAGACTCTGAAACAACCGT